CCAAGCAACTTTATCCAAGTATTCATTCATTCATTCATTCATTCATTCATTCATTCATTCATTCATTCATTCATTTAAATCTATTGGTGGCCAAACTACACTAATGCCTACAGTAATACTCACAGTGGTCCTATAAATTCCTATAAAATTTACCAGGAAAAATTGGGTGATCTTAAACAGGGCCACCAGTCAACTCTCTGTGGTTGCAATAAAGGTGGAAAAAGAACAGTGTTTCAGCACCCTAATTGAAATAAGCTAATGCCTAAGAAAAACTCTTACCTGTGCTTGTTGGGTGTTCTCTTTTTTCTCCAGCCGCACTCTAGGTATCTCTTATGCAATTCCATCACTAGGACTTCCTCTGAAAACCAAGGGGCTCTCCTGGATTCATGTGCATAGTTGGCGGCCACTACCATTACAATGCTACTAGAGTCACCCTGACATGGCATATTTCTAAGGGGCACTTTCAGAGTTAAAAATGACTGCCATCAATTTCCTACATCCTAACCCCAGTTAGAGCAATTTACTTCCCTTTTCTATATACTTTTTGTACCATGAAACATCTGAAAACCTACTTGTGAGAGAACTTAGGCCCAGCTTTATTACTTTTTCTTCAATACATGCTTGCATTGCCCTTTGTTCAATTGATTCTTGTAATTCTCAGGATATTCTATCATGCAAAAATGGGGTGCCTTAACCTGTAGCCTGAAGTGGTTTGTTTTGTTTACCACCTGGAGATTCGTCTTCTGTGATACCTTACTGCTCTTATATCTAAGGCTTCAGACACAATAATTTACAATTGAAAAAGTGGATCTGTTCAGCTGAGATGAACATCAAGTGATGACATGCATATATGAGCAATTCATTGAAAGGCAAACATCCTCTTAGTTATAAATAAGAAAGTGAAAGCAATGAGCTAAATATTTAAATATTTGTATGTTGCCTGACCAAGTTTTAAGAATTTCACATGACATTATTTCACCTTCTGTGCAAAATATTCTTTGTGTTCAACAAATTAGTTTTTGCTTATTAAAATTAATCATTCTTTCCTCACCTTTGATTTTAACCAAAAGAAGAAGAAAAAAAAAAACCCTGGAGATCCTGTTTCATGTCAGATTAAACAAGCAGGTTCTCGCTAGCATTAAATATGCAATCAGATTTCAATCTTTCTAATTAATTGAGTTGCCATCTGTGGAAAAAAAATCCTTGTTTTAAAATTGTTGATGCAGGAGGTATGCCTTTCAGCAATTTCACATGCAAAGCAGGTATATGTGTGGCTTTTGCAAGGAAAGAAGGAAGGAAAGAGAAAGATTGATTATCTGCTGGAGGTTCCTCAAGGAAAGCAGATTCTTTCAAACTTCTTGCAATTGCAGTACGAGATACTACATTTAGCAATATTCATTGCTTATCTAATGCTGTGCTCTGAAAGCTCCAGTGTTTTCTTTGGGATGGGATGGGATGGGATGGGATGGGATATTTCTGGCCCAATTTTTGACATGTGCAGATTCACCCCAATTCACCCCATTCTTTGTGGGCATAGATTCTGATGAAGACCCCAGTCCAACCTACAGGAAAATCCAGAAAATATAGATAAAGGGCTAGTTATATAATGAAGTCTTGACAATGCTCTTCTGGTATAAAGGCTCCTGGAGAAGGGGGTGGGGTCTCTGCATTCCCTCTGTATGAGGTCAGACTGTAACTTCTAAATATATGTAGTTCCTCCATCCTAATGCAGAAGACAATTGTGCTTTTTATTACCACTTGCTGTTTTTATGAGTTCAAGGTTATCTTTGAAGAGTGAAACTTTTTTTCTCATATCTACCTAGGAAACTTCATGAATGCTTTTACTGATTTTCACACCCTTTATTTTCACAGAAGATTAACATCCAGTAAAAGAACCATTATCAGGAGACATCACTGTGCTCCTCCTTGTTTTTTCTGGTTAATGTTGGCTTTGTTCTTTAAAAAGTGGAAGTATCTACTACATAATGTATTTTAAGCAGACAATTTGTTTAGGATTGGTTTTGTTGTTAAATAGAAAAGAGAGCCTTACCTGTGGTATTGTTAAGATGATAGAACCAGGACAGAGCCAAACTAGAACCTAAGGGTGCAATACTGTCAGTGCTTCCCCCAACAAAATTCTCAATAAGCAGCTGTATCTTAGCCATACAAAGACCTTCCCAACTTTATCCTGAACTGTTTATAGCCTTCCAGGTTAAGGGGTAGTGACTATCTAGGTGATTGTAGTTATCCTGGATCCTAAAGGCATACCAACCCAGTTTACCTGCATTATGCTCATGAATCATCTCAGTGAGGTTGTCAGAGCATTTGTCAACATGGATCTATCAGATCAATGGTTGCTGAAGCCATAAATGAGTGTGGTACCAAGAAAAAATCAGGGTACTGACGGTGCAATGTATATTTCAAGAAGTGGCATGGGTTTTGCCTCATGTAATCTGAAAGACAAATATGAAAATAGCCATTTCTAAAAAAAATAATTGCAAACTTTCTCAACTGCAGTGTCTTTGCTCCATCAACTCGGAATACCCTGATTTTGGACAATTTCCATAAGGTTCCTTTAAGACTGATAGCCAAGAAGCTTGTGTTTGGTTTTCCATCAAAGTTAGGATCCCTGACTCTGAATGTACTTTAAGATCTTCAGTACTTTTAGAAAGAAGAAAATACGCATTTAAGTTGTAAATGGACAATCAATAAATTTCTGTTCACAAGGGAGAAGCAAGAGTGACTTCTCAGCTGTGACCTTGAAGTCTGCTGAGATGTCATCAGGTGCATCTATTAATCTTTCCAACATAGTTATCTGGATCAAATTTAATTTCCCCCCACTCGTAACAAAATGGAGGAAAGTTAATGAATTTTCACCTTTATTCCTGAATCAACTTCATGAACATCCTGTTGATTATGATACTTGAATTATCACCTTTTATGAAATAACTTTGGAAGAGCCGTAATACACTTTTGTTATGTGAATATGCATTTAAATCTTTAATCAGGATTAATCACTGTGCTTATTGCACTACGCAATAAGATGTAGTAGGCAAGAAAAAAACTTCTTTTAAAACTCTAAGCCTATACTGTATCTGACAGTTATTCGCCAATTCTCCATCTTTCTGGAATGTATTTATTAAGATTGTTTTTATATTGTATTTTAACTGATTTTATATCTGCCATAAACCATCCAGAGTCATTTCAACAAGATGGGTGGTGACAAATTTGATAAATAAATAAATAAATAAATAAATAAATAAATAAATAA